AATAGAGTCGACAGACATTATCAGATTTAGATATTCCCCAATCGCCTCAGAATCAAGCACGAAAGACGTTTGATGTGAAGTGGCCTAAAATGACTGTAATCTGTATTATTGTCACTACATACTAAATGAATGGTATTATGATGAAACAAGGATACTTTTGCCCGTTAGTCCGAGTTTCATGAACTGTGTATCACAAATGTCAACATACGTTTGTCCTTGTTCACCTTCGTCAGCAGCATAAGAAATCGAATAAACGAGTGGTACAATGTTGTTTTTGTTGTGTTCGAGAATAGCTAATTGAACAAAAAAGTCGATTAAAAAGCCATCGAAATTAGACGGTGATGATATGTAATCTGTGGGTATTCTGGAGCCCATAGCAGACATGTATTGTAAATCTAGTGAAGTCTCGCCTTCATCGTATGTTTTGTTTCTATAATCACGACCATATATTTTTCCGAGGGTGAGAGAAAACTTTTTACCATATGTGCGGGCGAACGATTTGAACGAATTCAGATTTAGATATTCTTGAAAGCCGGCTATAGCTTGTCGACTATTTACATTTCGTATTTCGTTTTTATTATCATCTACATTGTACAGAGACAACAATACATTAGGTGTGACAGTAGTCACTTTTTCTGTTGGCGATGGATACGCAGCTTTATCCGAATATTTGGTCTTGAATATAGATCGAATAGTGATTTGGTATGCCTCGTAATTACCGATATCTGTTTCATTGTTCAAGAAGAATCGACATAGGACACTGTCGTTGTCCAAATTAAAAACAGTACAATATTCCGCATTGATTGCCGTAGCTTTTCTGCAAACTTGACAGTTTGTATCTGCTATAGGTACTTCACGTGTGACTAATTTCTTGTTCTTGTCTTGCCGAAGTTCAATTACGAAGCCTTTAAAGTCGTTACTACATAAGGAATTTGATGCCTGCTTACCATCAGCACAAATTAATTGAATGTAAATTAGAAATTTTGAAAAACCACTGGATATACGAAAGATGATCGGAGCATTGGACTTCGCCTTTTCAGTTGATATTGGTACAAACGTTTTCTTCTCATTTCTGTTACTAATAGCAGGAAACCGAGTTAAACCTTCAATGTAAGCGATGCGATGATGAATGATCTCTGCCAATTGATATTCTGTTGCTCTCAGTGTTCTCTGACCAGTCATTTTGTGTCGATAAGTGTGGAGTTTTGTTTGGAACATACGTTCAATTTCGTCGGCTGTTGCTTCGATGACGATAAACTCTTTATTTGCTGTGGGTGCTACTCGAACTGGATACTTCTTTGCCCATTGCTCAATAGCTTTACCATTTTTTTCTGTCTCAGGCAATATCATTTCATGTATCTCGTCATAACTCACGTAGTTCCCATACGAGTGATGTGTCGGATCTGTTATTTGTTCAAATTCTTTTTTTAGCCGTTCTACTTCTTTTTCGTTGTTTCTTGTGACAACAATCAACCTTACCAACGTGGTGGTACTCTTCTCTGCTACATCGTGCATGAGATCCCATTGATCTGTAGGAACTTGTACCAGTGTTTTGATTACATTATCACCACGTAAACCAAGGATTAGTGCACCGATCAAAAAGAATGACCAAAAATACATTTCACTTGATGCTTTTTCTTGAATAAACAAACAACTCATGAGAAGTTATGAGTAGTGGAAATTATCAGTGCGTCCGAATGAGAAAAAGAGTAGAATTTACAACCTGAACTGTATAAATGTTACAGGCTATACTAAATTTCAGACAAACTTTAAGTTAGCCTAGGGAAACGTAAAATCGAGCAATGAAATATGGACTTTTCAAAAAAGAATTAAACAGTGTAATAAAAATTTCCGCCACTTAATGATTTGATGAGAAATACAGGGCTTCACCCGCCGAGCTTGATATAAGTATATTTACTATTATGCATTTTTATTAGAATTAATGCCTAGCTAAGCCTATTAATACATCACAAATGAGCCTGATATAAGTATATTTGACGTACGTCTACTTGATACACATAAAAGGGTATCAATTTTTTGATCACCAGATTTATTTACTGCGAAATTATCACGAAAAAATAAGACTTTTGACCGCCAAACCAATTAACGAAAAAATATACAAGAAAACACTACCCATGGGGAAATTTGATCGACTTTTCACGCGTGAGGGACCGTGAAATGTCAGCTTGGACTTTCACAAAATTTTGTACGTAAAGACAGCAAGTTTCACGACAGTTTGGTCATGTTGTTGCAACATCACACGCGTGGCTACGCGTGAAAAATCTTCACACGTGTACACAAGTGAACAATCTTCACGCGTGATTACGTGTGAAAAAATCTTGACCATGCCGACCATCTATAGTTAACTGACTATATATGGTCACCATGGTCAAGGTATAATGCAGATTTCATCAATGCAACTTCATCTATGTGAACACCAGTTTCTAAAATATCACATTTTATATATATTACCGCAAAGTAAGAGTCGAACCAGGGTACTTTGAATTAGAAATCTACGATACTACTATTGAGCTAACTTGCCTGAGAAACTACTGAATAAATCTCATATTAATAGTTGTCCAATCAATCCTCACGAGTTACCACCTGTAAAAAACTTCCCACGCGTGATTACTCGTGAACTTCCTAAAACTTTTTTCTTAGTTTCCAACTTTTCCAAACTTTTTTAGTTAATACTTCCTCCCCGAGAACAAGATGATTCCCAGGCATATTTCTACAGCAAATACCTTCGGTCTACAGCAAAGGTTTTCATCTGTATGTATGTACAACTTTCGGAAGATATAGGAGAAAGGACGGGTCCGTAGAAGCTAAAGAATCGGCCCACTTTTTTTTTTTGCTCAAAATGCTCCTGAGGCTACCAGAAAACCAGGAACATTCGATTTTAGGTGCTTTCGAGTGGCTAAAGCCCTTCCATCCCGATAGCATCTTCGCTTGGAAGCGGCCATTATGGAGCACTATTAAAATCTTTCTCCTGCGCTTTTCTCTGGCACTATAGGAGCATATAAAGAAATCAACCCATAATTAGAAACCTCTTTCAATTCTCTACAAACTGGTGTATTCAAAATATCTTCGTCGATTTGCAAAAGATCATTAAGTTCGACTTAACAAGTATGACTAGAGAAAAATGCGACCTGGAGATCATTAAGCTAACTTTTTTCGAAAAAACGAAAAAACCCATTTTTCTAAAATAGTGCGTTTTATAGCTCTTTCAATTCTCTACAAACTGAGCCACTC